CGACATACATGTATATACTGAAAAAAAAAGTGTAGATATGCATTTCTAAGTGTTCTAGTAGTTACACAAATACAATATTCAAACTGTTTCATGGATAAAAGTATGTTTATTCTTCACAAGAACATCACCTTCCATTATAACTTGTTAGGGTCCGAGTCAGATTGATTTTGGAAATTCACAGATATCTTGAGTACAAATATTTTTGTAACACATCTGATCTTTTGTGCATTACAGACTAGCACATTTAACTCAAAGCTTACTATATTTTGTGTATCTTCAAATAGCACATTCAAAATTATAGTCAACATTCCTTTCGTCCATTAAAAAACTACCAAAGTGGGTTGTAATTTTGGGATTACATGTGACAGCGATATTTAGCAGCAGACAAGTTAATTTAATGATATAAAGAGTGAACATTAATGACCACTTAGGCACATGATTTTCTTTATTTTTAAAAGTATTTATGAGCCACATTAAATTGAAAGTCTTGTATATGTTTTGAGGGCTAAATAAGTTCTTCATTGGGTTGTAGTTTACCCACCTCTGAAATAAACTGAATGAACTATGTTCGTACATGATTAACTAGAAAACACTTACTATGAACAGGTCTAATTACAGCTGAAAATACACGGATAACTAACCACCACCAATACTAAGTTTAAAATCAAATAAACCTCCATTCACAGCCACTTAGAATAATTAAGGTTAGAGATGAAGCAGAAAAGACAGAGTAAATTTTCAACAAAAAACTTCCTATTAACTTTTCAAGAAATCTATTAGATAGGATACAGAACTATTATGACTGTCAATGTTATTAGGTATGTATAAATGATAATAAAATGTAGGTTTAGAATGATGAAATTATAAAAAAGTTAAATATCTAATATATATAAGAAAGGTATTTGGTATTTTTTTTAATCTAAGTGGAACCATATGCAAAGTATGGACCAAACAGCCAGGTAAGAGTCCCCAAAGCTCAGACATTGTAAATGCTAAATTAAAACTACTGTCCAGAAAGTGGGCAACCAATTGGCAGTTTCACTGTAATAACATCCCCACAAATGAAGGTTTGAACATTGTGCCTTTCAATCCACAGCCTGGCATGATAACCATTAAACCACACCTGACTCCGCGGGAGCAAATAGGCTTTATATGTATGATCAGGAAAATCAATATCCCAAATAAAGCTACTTTCATTGATTTTGAACACTACATCTTCCATGATTAAAAATAAATCCTGCTAAAAAAGCATGAATACAAATGCAATTTTTAAATTGTAGCATTTTTATCTACCCTCAATATGCGACACTACTATAAATAATAATAATGTATACATTTTAATATTCATTCAAAATAAAAAGATTAAATATCAGTGAAGTACCACTGCAAATATAAAAAAACAAGTATTTCTTCACTCCATTGCAAGAGATCCTCATGGGAGAAAGATGAGTAAATCATTACAAAATGTAATAGACCCAACTGATGTGATTCATGGGATTTCAGTGGAGGTGAGCAATTTTCATGTAATAACCCACTGTTTTGAACCTTAGGCAGAGATGGTCAAAAGAGTTACTCTGCATTGATACATAATTAATGCAAGACCAATGAATAAAATAAGTACTTTTAAAAAAATACTAATTTATTCTCCTTTACATTTTTAATTGAGATGGAGTACTTGAATAACACAGTCTGTTCCTATAATTTATACATAAACTATTGTGTACATCTAAGGGATGGTAAAGACACAAGGTATGCTGCCATTTTATTTGCACACTCAAATCATTCACTTCTGTAAAAACATACAGTTACACAAACAAAATTAAAGATAACTTCAGTGAATATAGTCAGGGATGGATCTAAAGATGAGCTTGGGGGGGGGGGGGGCTACAGCCACCCTAACCAGCATGTGATCATCTACACATCTTGATGGCAATGCCACTCCCCCTTTCCCCAATATTCTTTCTGGTCCACCTCTAAACATGGAAGTCTTTCTTTGGAAATCTCACAACAAGAATGAACTTTAACTTATATAGTGAAAACAAGGCCATTTAACTAAGGTGTGGAGATACTACCATTCAATACCTGCAAGTTGAAAGTTTTCGTAGTCTTAAAAGCTGTGTTTAAAGTAAACCTCTCAGGAATTCAGCCTTAAAGCTTTAACCGTGTGTGTGTGTGTGTGTGTGTGTGTGTGTGTGTGTGTGTGTGTGTGTGTGTGTGTGTGTGTGTGTGTGTGTGTGTGT